AAGGCCTGGCGCAATATGGTTCATGGGGTCACGAAGAGTCGGACACGACTTAACGACTAAACAACAACAACAACAAAATAATTAAAAAGCAAACCCTTTAAATGAAACCTAAGAAAAGTCAGATTAAGGTGACAAAATGAGCAGTTCTGCCATGCTCCTGAAAAACAGACACAGGCACAACCTTTTGCAAAAAGGAAGCTGCATATGTCTTTGCCTTGGCATGATGTTCTGATCCTTACTTGCATTTTGGACATGGAAGAGCATTCAGAAACAGCTTCTCCTTCTCTGAGTAGAAATGCTAAGGCCTGTTCTTCTGCTGTCTTCTCCTTGGGGTGAAGGGCCTTCAATTCATCTCATCCAGTCTGGCTCGGCTCCATTTACCCCCACAGCCTGTGTCTGCAGTTGGTCTTTTTCCCCACCCCGGGCTAAATTTGGAGGGATCCAGTCCTGGTGCCTGTGGCAACTTTGGCTTCAGAAAGGATGGAGGAACTACACACTGGTGACACTGGGGGGGAAGGGCTTCAGTCAGCCCCCTCACCTGAGCCGTACTCACTTGTTGACGTTGTGCTTGAGGGTCTCCAGCTGCTGCCGTTCAGGGGCTGTGATCATTTCCTCAATCTCCTGCAGCTGCGCCTCCTCAGCCCCCGTGGCCTGGACCGAGGCAAGGATGGCCTCCACCCGCTGGCTCTTCTCCAGCAGGCGCCTGCCGTGAGACAAAGGCCATGATCGGACAGGCTTGTGGCTTCACTTGAATCACAGAGACCGCAAGGCCAAAGGCCAGACAATCTCAGCAGATGCATCCAAGACACAGGGCAGGAAATTTCATGAGAGCCACACCGCTCTCCCAAACACCAAATTACCAAGGAGAGCGTGCCAGACCCCTGCCTATCTCCATCCCACTTCCAGATGGAGAACTCTAAGGTTTCCACTCATCATCACAGAGTTGGATTCGAATGGCTGAACTGTCTTGCCTTACTCCTCCCACCCCTAGGATTCCCGACTCACCGGTTCTCCTTGGTCTCATGGAGTCGCCTCTCTATCAGATTGGCCACACACTGAAATGGAGAGAAAGAGAAGTTCTCATGACCACATTCCACTGGCAGGAGAGGTTTTAAAAAGGGAAAGCAGGATGCAAACCTTGTAACAGCGCTGGAGCAGCATCCGGGCAGACAAGAGAGTATTGACCGTGTACAAGTAGAAAGTCCGGGAAGGTGCATGATCTGGTGTCTTGGGGATTTCCTGTTTTGGGGAGAAAGAGCCAGATAAAGGATTAACTTTGCTAATATTGATACATCACTATCATATTCCTGTCTAGAGCTGTGATATTTCAATCAGATTCCAGAGGGAAGTGGTGGGCTATGTAGAAATAGAATTTCTACATAGGAATTTTTATTTATTTGTTTGTTTATATTTATCTATTATTAAATTTAGGTGACTCTGGGTGGCTTGCAATTGAAAACCAAGACAATAAAAACAATAAAAATATAAATATCCCCCAATTAAAATCACAAATGATTTCTGTAAAAGCCAATATACAATTCAAGATGATGGTGGAGCAGTATCAATCATCCCACCAGCCAGTTCCAGCAATGCAAGCCCCCATCAGGCCCCCAGGCCATCCTGCATAGCCATGTTTTTACACCCTTTTGGAAGGCCAGGAGAGTGGGGCAGCCCAAACCTCAGCTGGCAAGCTTTCCACAGGGCAGGGGCCACAGCAGAAAAGGTCCTCTTCTTAGACCCTGCCAGACAAAATTCCCTGACTGGTGGGGTATGCAACATGCCCCTTCTGCTGGACCAAGTGGGGCGGGCTGATATAATGGGGGCGAGACAACTCCTTAGATAACCTGGTCCTGTGCCATAAAGGGGTTTAAAAGTGATAACCAACACCTTGAATTGGGCCTGAAAGCAAACTGGCAACCAATGCAGCTTGCATAACAGGGGTGTTATATGTGCCACTCTACGGGCATTCAAGACTGCGCTGCTGCATTTTGCACCAGCTGTAACTTCCAAATACTCTTCAAGGGTAGCCCCATGTAGAGTCCACTGCAGTAATCCAAACAGGAGGTGACCAGGCATGAGTGACTACACGGAGGGCCTCCTGATCCAGGAAGGGGCATAACTGATGCACAAAACGAAGTTGTACGAAGGCCCTCCTAGCCACGACTGCCGCCTGCTCTTCGAACAGGAGTTGTGAGTCTAGGAGGACCCCCAGATTGTGCACTGGCTCTGTTTGGGGTAGTGCAACCCCACCTAGAACCAAAGATGATAAACTCCTAGATCTTGAGGCTCCCCATATCCACAGCCACTCTGTTTTACCAGGGTTCATTGAAGCCTGTTGTTCCCCATCCAGGCTCCTACAGCCTCCAGGCACCTGGGATGGAGATATATAGTTGAGTATCATCAGCGTACTGATGATGCCTCATTCCATGGTGCCGGATGATCTCACCCAGCAGTTTCATGTAGATGTTAAATAGGAGTGGCGAGAGTGCTAAACCCTGAGGCACCCCACAAAGTAAGGGCTGCGGGCTGGATCTCCTGCTCCTTATCAACACCGATTGGTGTCAGCCTTGGAGGAAAGAGCTGGACCACCACAAAACTGTGCCACCCAGCCCCAACTCCCGCAGCCGACCCAAAAGGAACCTCTCTCTTTCCTGGTAATGGGAACTGACTTCCGCTCAAGAATCACCCGGTCAACCTGCAGCTTGTGAAGGCTTGCAAGGAACCTCACTTCCATCACTGGCTCGGAAAGTCTGCCAGAGTCACCTTGACTTTCCAGGCAGAGCTCCTCAGGTCCTGCAAAGTGGCCTGCTGCCTCGCCCTCACAGCTTGGCCTGTGCACTGGGGATTGTCATGACAACACAAGGAGAGCCAGTACCTGCAGGGCTACGATATTGGCCGATAACATTTTGTACATCATTTCTTTCGCTTCTTTGGCTGGGATCATGGCAAAGTCCTCTATCTGCTTCTGTTCCAGGTGCCTCTTTCTTAATAAAAGTCGGAAAATGCGGGCACAGCGGGACCCAAATCTGTATCCAGGAAGAAAGCGAAGAGCCTGTTCTGACCAGGGCAATTAAAAACCAGTGACCCCACTTCCTCCCATACCGAGCAGGAAAACAGATGAAAACTTTCATGTAAGCTGTAAAACAGGAATAGTTCATACATATACATACTAACACACTTGCACCTTTCCCTTCAAACCCCAATAATTCTACCCCCCAGAATTAAGTGCAGCCACCAAAAAGCTACATCACTAACCCACTGCTTGCCACTGGGTATGACGGAAAGACATCCAGTATTTGAAATGCATGGTGGGAGAGGAAATATTAAGCAAACTGGTTTCTCCAAAACTATAGTTTTACAGAATAAATTAGAACACGTACACAAGCAAGTTGCATGCTATTTTTCCTACTTTGCTCTGTTACACAGATGAGTAAGCACTAATAATGTATTCCTAAGATAAAATATTTAGTGGATTTTTTAAAATCAAAGAGTAATTTATTTTAAAGGCATGTGTTTTATTATTTACAAAATTTGTACCCCCCTTTTATTCAGAAATGCTTAATAAAAGCATTAATAATTAATTAATTAATTAATTAATTAAAAAATGCCTAGTGTTCCCTCCTCCCACTTTTTTCCTCAACAGCAACCCTTGTAAGATAGAGTGACCAGCCCAGAGTCCCTAAAGGAGCTTCCATGGGGTGGGGTGGGAGGAATACAACCTGGGTCTCCCCTCTCCAAGTCCAATCCCTTGACCACTTATGCCACTTTTCTTTCTTGAAAAAAATACTTTTGTTGTCTAACTTGGACCTGCTCTCTGGAAAAGGATGCTGGCACTCTGCTGAATTGTGGAGTCCTCGAGGTTCTCTGAGCTTGGTTCTTTTCTTGCAAACGTTTCATTACCCGGCTAGGTAACATCTTCAGTGCTATGGTACTCTGCTGAATCCCTGGAATGGAGTGGGACCTTTATCTGCAACCCACCCAAAAGGTTTACTAGGAAGTTTTCAGTATATAGTGGGGCAAAAAAGTATTTAGTCAGCCACCAATTGTGCAAGTTCTCCCACTTA